AATAATGTCTGATCATCATATAAAAACATTTTATTATTAATAAAAAAATGTGATTATATGATGATCAGACATTATTATGTTATATAAATAAATGTGAATGAAATATCTAATAAAACACACTAAAAACACAAATAAAACACACACCAACACTCGCCAAACCTAACCAACAATAAACAATAAACATGAACAAGAACAAAAATGACATGAAATGATTCATAATTGCAATTGTCAAAATTTATTCTACAAAATCTTTGTGGCGACATCTGTAGACTCTTTCCCCAACTTGTATATCCATCTCAAGTCACGTGGTTCCCAGAGTTTCCCCATATTTTCAAGTATGTATAAGTTCTCGGGCCCTGGTTTCGACTGGCACATTCATTCTAATGAATCAATTGGGTTCTTTTTGTGATCGATGATGCTGAAAAGAAAACTAGATATAAAGGTAGAGAATTGTAGTTTAAAACGCTTGTAGTGGGTATTAAAATCTTTTTTATAAGCCTTATGTGTTGTTTCCTTTTAATTTTTTAATTTCAGGGGGATTAGCATAATAGCATATACAAAAGGAAGGATAGGAGTGAAATTACGTCAAAAGATACAGACAATAGAACTTTAAAAAAAAATAATTACTATTTTAATAGTAGCAGTGTTAAAAAGATGTACATGTCATCTTATTTATTCTCATAATAATGTAAACCTTTGAAAGAAAATCACACGCTCAAAGATAAAATTGAAGTTATTTTTTGCGGTCGTAACTAGTTTTCAAGAAAAAATTCAATATTTTAACTTACACAACATTGGAATCGTCACTATTTACAACAACACTGTATAATCTATTTAAGTAATTAGACCTCACAATCCTCACATGATTTCTTGTAAACATATCGTTTTTTAAGGAAAATAATTGAGAAGAAACCTATTTAAAGTTTAAAGCTCCATCCTCTCCGTTTCATTATTGTTGTTGGTTGCATAGATAAATTGGTCGTACAGCAGTAAAATATCAAATATCACTCGCATTGCTCATTTGCCATATTTCTCTGATTATGGATTTTGAAATAGGTAACAAAATACATTTTGTTTCCCAATTCATTTAGCAGTCTTATGAAATTAAAATATAAAACGTATAATATTACAAAAATAGACCTAATTTATTTTAAATTTTATAATTTTTTATTAAAATTATTACAACGTACAACGACCTCTTCATCAAAAATGTCGAATTAATACCCCCCACTCTGTACTAATAAATAAGGCGCGATAACGGTAACTAAATAACGAAAACGAAATTACTGAAATCGAAATCAGTTAGTAAAAGTTCTGCATGCTGTAAGGTGTTCCTGAGCTGTTTGCATATTTTTTGTTATTCTTGTATCGAAACGAATCGGTAAAAGTTCTGTATGCTTTAAGGTGTTGGTGAGCTATTTGCGTGTTTTTTGTTATTTCTCAGCATGGCCTGTAATTCCTGTCAAATTTCTTTGTTTCATTTCTTCGAAATAATTTCAAATCAGCAACAATTGGTTAGTTTTCTGCAAGAGCATGGGGTTTTGCCTGAAAATATGGAATGCCCACATTGCGAAAAACTTTGCAAGTTTTATACAGAAAATGACTTGAGATTTAAGTGCACAAGCTCAAAATTGATGTCAAAAAATAAACGCAAAAGACAAAAAATTTACTGCAGTTTTTCAGTAAGCGCACGAAAGGGCACATTTTTTGATAAATCTAAGTTATCATTGGATACAATTTGCAAGTTTGTAGCTTTTTGGCTTGTTTCTGCACCTTCCCGACAAACGCTGCTTGAGAATGAACTGAATATTTCCTCTAAATCTGTCGTAGATTGGTCTAATTTATGTAGAGATGTCTGTCTAATCTGCATGGTAGATGGATCTGAGCAAATAGGAGGACCAAATAAAATTGTTGAAGTGAATGAAGATAAAATCAAAGTAGGTAAAAGAAAATATAATAGGGGTAGGTTAATTAAGGCTCAATGGGTTTTTGGAGGGATTGAATACGACTCAAATAAGTGTTTTCTCGTTCTTGCAGACGACAACAGCAAGGAGACATTGCTCCAAGTAATTAAAAATTGGGTACTACCAGGTACTACCATTATATCGGATTGTTGGAAATCTTATGACTGTCTGGCAGACGAAGGTTTCCAACATGAAACTGTGAACCATTCCAAAAACTTTGTTGATCTAGACACTGGTGTTCATACCCGTAATACTGACAAGCTGTGGAGGGATATGAAGAGTAGCATTCCACGATTTAGTCGTCGGGAAAATAATTTCGACGGCTACTTGGCGGAATGTCAATTTCGTATGAAATACTCCAATCATACGGACAGGTTCCATCACTTTTTCAAGAGTATGGCACATCTCCAACCCCCTGCAGAATTAGATTCTGGGGAGTCATCAGATGGTTCTGATTAGTCTACTCTTATTTTTGTTATAAAAATGTTTGAATTTGTAATTTTTAATATTTTGCTCCTATATATTCAGTTTCATTTGACACTATTAGTGCTTCTACGCTTTCTTCTATCTCTTGACCTAACCTAATATCACCTAACTTAACCTTTACCTAACCTAACCTACCTTACGTAACCCAACATGAAACAACCTATCCCAGTCTTTCCTAATCCTTTCCCGGCAAGGATGTGTTCATACCTTCTCGATGGTCCTTGCTGAGCAGTAATATATTTTAATAAAAAAACTAATCCTACTTAATAGCTAATTTTATATCTTGATCATGAACAACAACTCAACAATATATCTCAATTATTTACTATGTTAAATACAAAATTAAATTGTTAAGATATGTTATTGGCAAAATGAACATAAACGTCAAAGGTTGATATATCTATCATGGCTAAATTTTTAAACTAAAATAGTATTAGATTTGAAATTTGAGGTATGGATGATCCTATATTATATTATTTTGTTTTAGGCAGAAGCTTTCTCACATTTTTTTAATTTTCTTTATTCCACAGATTTTTTATTCTGTTAATATTTTCCATTTCGAAAATCTCAATTCTGATGTACATAAAATACCAGACCTAAATTTAAATGCGTGTAAATGTTTTAATTTTTGCCACACATATTTTTTATAGAAATAATGATTAAAATTTAATAAAATAATGTATGCCTCTCAATACAGGTCTTTAATTACAGGAGTTCTGACACCACACTATACAGTGAAGTGTTGTAAATAGGGCCTACTTGATATCAATTTATACCGGGTGTCCCATAATATGTGGGCAATCTTTCGGATTTATATGGGGAATGTTAAAATAACGTGTCAAGTTCGCATAAAAATTTTCCCTAGAGGGTCATCCTACGGAGATAACAAGGTCCTACAGAGGATGCCCCTGAAAATCGAATTTTTTTTAATAACTTTGTGTAATTTAATTATTTTTTTAATACGATGGACAACAGATAATAAGGCTCCTTAAAATTTGACCCATGGAGCCAATTTGGCTTATTTGGTTTGCCAGGGACGGACTAGCTGTAGCACAATAATGTCAATTTTTTTTACACCTTTTACGATAAAGGCACAAAAATAATATTTCTAGTTAGCTTGAACCTTACATTAAAAAAGGCACTCTTGATTGATATCGATAAAATGAACTGTTTTCGAGAAAAAACTATTTTTGTTTAATATGATTTTTATTACATACCTAATTTTGTATGTCAGTTCAACATGCGCTGCTTCTAATGTTATGCATTCCCTAGCTTTGCGAATTGAAGGTTGTTGGATCTTCTGTTTTCCATCATATTAAAAAATAATTAATTTACACAAAGTATTTTAAACGTTATTAAGAAAAATTGGTATTTAGGGGCCTGTAGGGGGGCGCTCTAGGGAAAATTTTTATAGGAACTTGTCATGTTATTTTAACGTCCCCTGTATAAATCCGAGAGATTGCCCACATATTCTGGAACACCCGGTCGTATAGGTTAAAATTTTGAATTATTTCCAGGAAGCTATAATGAAATACTTTTACTTACTTACTTTACTTACTTTTAGTTTTTATCTGGAAAATGAACACTTAATACATTTAAAAAAAATTATTCTTCTGTTAAATTCTTGAAGTCAATAAGAATATTGAGCAAAACATTTGATTATATTACAATTCAGATATAGAAAAATATGAAAAATGGTTAATGTCATGTTTCCCTTGTAAAAGTAGTAAAATATGAATAACACAATTTCCTTGGGGCTACCGTTGCTAAGAGAATAAAAATGGGCAAATCACTGAATTTTTACATTATATAAATTGTAACGACACCAATATTTACACAAGGAAGGACTATTAGGGAAATATTTGGTCAAATAACGTCCTATATGTAGTTATGGTGAAATATATTTGATTGCAAAGGTTTTTACTGTGGTTCGAAAAGTGGTCTTTTAATTTTTGAAAATTCTTCCTCTTTAAAATATTTGTTGTTTGATTACTGATAATTCAAATATGAATGTCTTCAAGTGTTTTCGATCGAAATTTTAGAAGTAACTGGTAATATTGACTTCCGTTATTTGCCTCATTTTAGAAGTATTAATCCATATTTCATTTAAAACAATTTTTTAAAATAAAATGTATTTAGTCTGCGCACTTGACGTTTATTTTCGTGCCATCTATCTGTGCCAATTGTTCACAAAATGACCATAGTAAGAAGAAGAAGAAGATAACCTCCAAATTTTAAAAGGTTCAACTCGCAAGAAATGAGTTTTTTACACATATATAATCATATAGACAAAATATGGAAAATATATTAAGAAAAACGTCTAATTTTTACTTCGCCAGATGTAACACAATTCATACATCATGTCGCCTGAACGGCTGGCGTCAAACTGGAAATGCTATGAAAAAAGTGCTTGGTGGAACTAAAAAAAGGTATAGTTTTGAATAGTTCATGTTAATATTTTGTTGACATCAATTTTGTTATAGAAAATCATATTTTGAGGATTCTCCTAAAATGCCTTCAGCTGAATTGTTCAGTAAAGGAACTTTTGAAGGGAAAGGGTCGGGTAATTCAAGAAGAGCCACTGTACTAAATAAGCTTTTCATGCGTCACATAACTGATCAATTGGCAACTGGAAAATGTGCTGAGAAGATATTGGGATATGGCGTGGAGATAAATAGAGTAAGCACTTTTGAATTAACATTAAAAATAATATGTGGGTATTCCATTTTCAAAACAAAATCAAAAATACAACAGTTGGTCGTGAATCATCTAAAAGTATTTACTAAACGAAATATTTTTAGGTAAAAGTGACACCAGATTACAAGTTGTTAAAAGTTTATTGGCTTGCAAAAGGATCGCAAAATGATGAGGTTATAGATGAAATTTTACAAAGGAATTCTGGTTTGCTAAGACATGAGCTCTCTCAGTTACGTTTAATGGGTGTTGTACCTCTTATACAATTTGTTAAAGGTACAGTTAATAAGTTAAATATATATCGTATTAATAATTATTTTACATAGATAAACTTTATGCACGAATTGTTGAACTGGATAGTAAATTGTCTATAGCAGACTTTGGAGAAGATCACACTCCACTGAATCCAGCTGAAAAACTTAAAACTGAATTTGAAATTTTGTCTCCATTGGACGACAATATTAAAGTGAGAATAATTCTACTGTTTTTGTTTTATATTATTGCCAAAATTATTTGTTTTTATTGTAGAAACAACTTAAAGAATTAGATGAAACTGAAACGGAAGATTTTGAGGAATTACCCTTACCGCCGATGCCTCAGAATGTTTTAGGTTTAAATCATGCGATCATCTTAAGCAGGGTTTGTAAAAATGTTTTATAAAGCTGTTATATTTCTAATTTTAGAAAGAAATTTCTTTTAGATTAAAAAATCTGTGAGAAAATCAGAAGCTCTTCACAGAATCGACACTATTAAAGAGAATGAGGATGAAAGCTGGGTTACGTTTAAATTAAAACAGTCTACGAATGAGGATCCTCTACAATTCGGGAGTGAATATTCACAGAGGGAAGCCTTTAAGGATTTTTTACATAAACGACAGGTAAGTTTGATTAATAAATATTAATTAAATTAAAGTGGTCATATTTGGATAATGAAACGTGGGAAATGATTTTTAGGACTATGTAGAGAACTTTCACGAAAAAATTTTAAACGAAATTTGAGACTTGCAATATATTATTTTTCATAATCAACTGATAGATACAATTAGGTGATTTTTTTGTTTTTTGTAAATTCAATTTTTCATGGTGATACCTTTTTCAATTCTTATTTGATATTAACATTCGTATTGTCAAATTTCAGTGTTGTAACTTTAAGAAATGTGAAAATTTTGTGACAAATAACCGCTCAGTTGATTATGAAAAAAAGTATATACATAGACAACTTATTTTTTATTTATAGCTTCTGCGATTGAAAGCGAGGAAAGAGAATAAAAATTATATACCCGATCTGGAATATATAAAAGAGGAACTTAGGGAACGGCACATGGAGAACTTAAGTAAATTTGATATAATTCTTGAGAATATCGAGGAGGATTTTATTGAAGATTCTGAAGATGTCAAATAATTTATAGCAGATATTTAGTTATTAAATTTTACTTTAATTAAAATATAAAAAAAATATATAGATTTTTATGTTCCAGTTCATATCCTTTTATACATTTGTTATTTTGATTATACCGGGTGTTCCAGAGTTGAAGCAACAAAAGCCTAGGGGAGGTTCCGCTTAGCAAAATATGTAAAAAAGTTCATATGAACAAGGGTCTGCAAGTGTTTCCTTTCCGAGATACAGGGTGTTAATTTATTTAAAAAAATTGAGTCAAGAAAAGAAATAAATAGAATAAAAACGAAGCGAGACATTAAAAAGAGTCAAGAAACACAAATGTACTATTTTTAGCGAGTTTATCTGAATATAAAATAAAAACCACAAAAGACTACCGGGTGATATTTATTGTTTTACTGTTTCCACTTCTTGTTACGACTATTTTTAACATTTTCCTCCAATTTTCTGTGTTAGAATATGGTGCACTGCACCACTAGTCCAGTTGGTAGAGGTTCGGCGTGTGTCAAACCTTGATAACCCGGAAATAATTACACAGGAATACTTTAAATGATGAGTACAATAACTGACTAATTTGCTGACAAAGTATTTTATCAAGAAAAAAAGTTATTAACAATTTAATCGTGAAAACAATTTTTTAGTAGTTTTCTTTAAATAACAGCGGGATGATTTTGTACGAAAAAATGCTTAGGACATGATTTTGTTCGTAATAAAAATAGCTACAAAATGGCGGTGGTCCGATTACGAAATTTGCAATAACAAAGCCGTGAGATTGAAAAAACGGTATAAAACGCCAATTTTTTTAAGTTGCTGTAAAAATGTCGATTATAAACAAAAAGTGATAAAACTTTCGAAAACTATAGTTCAATATATATACAATAATGACCCTAAAGCCGAAAATCAGGAGAGCAAAACTTTTTGTTCTATAAGGTGTTATACATTCATCGGCATCTGAAACTCGAAACTTTGCCAAATTTGTTCGAAGCTTTGCTGACACTTGAAATTTGGTAGACACATAGTGTAAATATGCAGAAATCAAAAGCAATTTGCAAAATTCAAGTATCTTAATTTTTGCAGTTTTGGTAAGGTTTTATACGTCACCCTAGTTTTATATGTCACGGTTTTTTTAATTTTTGGACGTATATTCATGTATATTTATAAAATATTCCATTACGGTAGATTAGCCAGCATAATTACCTACAGTTTAAAAAAATATATATTTTCATCATTTAGATCCTAAGCTACTTAACATTTTGCGCCTGTTAGCCGTAGTCGTACACTATTTAACATATTAACATAAAACAAAATCGTACGTGTGGGGTAAACCTTTAACTTTTCATTTTCAAGCGCGAGCTCCGCTCTTCGGTGCTTGTATACTATTAGAAATATGCAACAGTAAATTTAAACAATTGTTTACTTAAAGTTATAGAACAAAAAGTTTTGCTCTCCTGATTTTCGGCTTTAGCGTCATTATTGCATATATATTGAACTATAGTTTTCGAAAGTTTTATCACTTTTTGTTTATAATTGACATTTTTACAGCAACTTAAAAAAATTGGCGTTTTAAAGCGTTTTTTCAATCTCACGGCTTTGTTATTGCAAATTTCGTAATCGGACCACCGCCAATTTGTAGCTATTTTTATTACGAACAAAATCATGTCCTAAGCATTTTTTCGTACAAAGTCATCCCGCTGAGTTATTTAAAGAAAACTACTAAAAAAATTTTTTTTCACGATTAAATTGTTAATAACTTTTTTCCTGATAAAATACTTTGTCAGCAAATTAGCCTGTTATTATACTCATCATTTAAAGTAGACCTGTGTAGTTATTTCCGAGTTATCAAGAAAATGTCACCAACAGTAACTTTTTGGCCTCTGCCGACTGGAGTACACTGTTATTTCACATTTTAAAAGAAACGGCATAACAAATTTATAACTTCTATCCAGATATTTAGAAGATACATTTTTTATGCAAAATCCTACAGATTGTTACTTACTAGATGCCACAAAATGTTTACAATCGTTTATTATACAGGGTGTTGCAAAATGTTCAGGGAATTCTAGAGCAGGATCTACATCCAAAAATACAAAAAAAAAAAACTATAACCGTAGGTCCGCAAATGTTTTGTTTTCGAAATAAGGGTGTCAAAAAAAGAAAAAAATGTTTTTTATTGATAATTTCTAAATATTTTTCTACAAAACTTGCTCGCTGGGTATGCCCCTGAAAATTCTGGATCAATCTAATTGGTTCAGTTGCAGTGGCGGCTCGTGGTTTTTTGAGATGGGGTGGACAAAATATTTTTTCTCATGTAACTTAATATCATATTAATTGCAATCTACGTTAGTCTATAATTGCACTCTAGTGGCCTACTAATTTATTTTCTATATCAAAAGTTTTAAAATTTTCTGTTAACAAATGATTCACAGCTTTTTTCCCCTTGCTTACATAAAAAAATCCCATAAATCTTTCAACTATACCACAATAAACAATAAACATATCTAAAAACTACTAATAACTGAGATAAGCATTTAACATTCGTTGTTTCATTTGGTTACTTGCCACGCGAAATATAGAGCATTTCTTATTTCTAAAAATATCACTTCGGATGCTCCATTGATGCTCCCTATTAAATCATTTTGAATAGTTTCTGAAAGGCTGCTAAAAACTAGAATTTTTTCTAAAAAAACTAAATTTATTATCGTACCTTGAAAGTAAGTTTGCAAGCTCATGAAAATTGCCTTGATTAATGGAATTATCTGATTCATTATGGTCCTTAAATCTTGTTCTTGTGTACCTAAGTAAATAATCATATCAATAAAGTGCTTTACAATGTCTATTTTCGTCCATGACTTTATTGTTTTAAAATATTCTCACAAAATGCGGAATCAAGAAAAGTTTGAATTTTTTTTTTCCTAATTAAATTTTAATGGTGAATATGTATGCTAATTCGATTGCTCCTATTTTTTTCTTAAGGATTCATTAAAATGTTTCAGATCTGAATATCCTAGATGGTTCCACGGTGTTTTACTTTTTTCATTACATAGTAAGCAATTCTAGCAATATAATTTGGTTTTGGTTTTACTGCCTCTTAACCACTCATATTTATTGTACCAATTTTTACTAAATGATCCGTTACTTCCGCAATTGTTTTTATTTGTTAAATTTTTCATGTTAAGCGTAGGTTTTAATTTTGAAATAAATAATTCATCATCAAAAGTCAACGTACTAAATTTTTTATCTAATAAAACAATTAACAATACATTAACATTGTTACTCACCAATTCGGGCATTTCACTTGCCATTTTGCTTTACTCCAAACTATTAAACAATAAAAACTTGTCTAAACCACCACTACAATTATAGGTTAAACATAAACAAACGACAATGACAAATCGCAAGATGATACTTAAGTACTCGAGGAATATGCGAGTGAAGCTGAAGGGCTTTCCCGGTGCGTAAGGCAATTTATATATACTCGTATTATAATTTATTAAAAAGCTGATTGAAATTCAAATAATGTATTAAATGAAACAATGGTTTTTCTAATCTAACAGTTTCTTTATTATTTGAAGTAAAAATAAATATTGGATTTAAAAGTCCTAAAAATTCTTAATTCAGTTTAACAGCAACGAGTTAAAAAAAACTTAATTATAATTATCATTATCACAGAATATTCAACATAGCACCATGGTAGATATTTAGTTTTTAACTCGATTTACACATTATTATAAAACGGTTTATTTCATTTATTAAAATTTGTTTTCTGGAATACCTTTCCAGGGAAAAACTGTTCTGTTTAAAAATTCATTTAAATAATAAAATTACATTTAAAGAAATAAATATATATATGTGTATTTCCAATCGCTGGCGAAAAGTCTTAGCTGGCCTTAGCGGATACAGCACTCAACGGGCATATGCGAGCTTACCCGGTGTGGCGCAAATATTCTGAATTGGTAAACGACTTACGTTTCCGATTACTCTCTACTCATAGGTAGGTATAGGCAGGCAAGGGACGGCATCGTTTAGTTCAGCGTCTATGGGCCAGCCCGAATATTATGTTGGTTGCTGCCGAGATCATGATTAAATTATAATTTTAAAATTTGGTAGCGGGAGTTTCAAAGGAGGTAATGCAATTTAGATTTAATTTTATAAGAATTACGTCAAATTACTTTGATATAATACACATTTTTCTAAAATTATCAGGGTGGGCACTGCCCACCCCAACGAGCCGCCACCGTTCAGTTGATGCAATGATAAGCGTTTTAACAAATGCAAAAATTTCATTCAAATCGGCTAGCGTTTTTTTTTAACTCAATTTTTTAAAAAAATTTACGCCCTGTATCTCGGTAACGACGTGCTCAAATATTAATGGACTTGCGGGACCCATGTTCATATGAACTTTTTTACATATTTTGCTGAGCGGAATCTCCCCTATGCTTTCGTCGCTTCAATTCTAAAACATCCGGTATATCGTTTAAAAATGAGATGGCATTTTACATTTTTAAAATATCTTCAGGACTAATTTTATTTGTCCAAAGTATTTATTACCATAGAGCAAAAATTTACAGATACTGGTATTGAGTTTTGTTTGACAATTTAGTACAATTTAAGGAGCCACGGAATGAAAACAAATTATGAAAAAAAATATTTATTAAAGTTCAACATGTGTACAAACATTTTTAATATCTACTTAAATTAGCTTAAATATAAACCTAGGAAAAACAAATCTCATATGTACACCTGCAAAATATCTCTGCATATGTTCGTCATATATTCAAAATATACAGGCTGTTACAAATTCACTTCTCACTACAGTGATCTCGGAAACGGTAAGAGCTACGAATAGGGGCAAAGTTGCGTAATCAGGGGACCAACATTATGCCTCTAAAAAATCAAGGCTAACATGATTAGTTTTCGAAATATGAGTGTTGTTCTTTTTTAAATATCACCTCAAACAAGGCTGAAATTTTGTAACAGCCTGTATACCACTACTGTCAAAGTAACAAACGAGACTATCAAGTAAAGATTTGAATTTACTTGACGGTTTCACAAAGTCTTAGTATAATTTGTATAAACAATGTACAATATATAAAAATGCAAAAATAAAAAACAAAAGGTATACTAGAAAAAAATTAGACAAATTCCTATCTATTTTAAGAATATATTAGATACTTTTTTCTCTAAGCCTAAGACACCAACTAGGTTAGTGCAAAATGGACGGTTTTTATTGAGACTAACAGAGCACAGCTGCTCAAATATTAGTGGACCTTGCCACAGTTAATTAATTCGTCATGTGTGAGTATTAGATATGCACTTGATCGTATAAATATAATAAAAACGTAAATGCTCTAAGAAAATAAAACTATACAAGTCAGAGATTCTATTACAATCAACTTCCAGAAAAAATACCAATGGATAACCTTAAAATAATGAACACAAGGTTAAGTAAGAAAGCACAGAAAACGGAAAGTTGTATGAAATTGAGCGCTTCCTCGATTACCTGAATTTGTATTAGAATTTTTTAATTTTAAATTAGGCACTCTACTACTTTGTACTAAATTACTATTTTTTTTTACAAAATGGTAACCCACAAAGGAATTGTACACTTTAAACAGTTTAACAAGGACAATAATCTCGTCTTTGCTTTTTAAGATAACTACAGTTCTCTTTGGGATTAAAATCTTAATACAAATTCAACCATTTTTTGATTCATATAATATTGTAACAACAAATATATTTTTTCTCATAAATTTTTATAGTATAACGTCTTGTTGCAAGCGAAGATATCGTATTATTGATAAGACAGACGTTATTAAAACGGTATATACAGGAAGGGGTATATTTGACGCTGTGTTGTATATGTAACAGTAGGGACACTGGCTGCTGCCGCACACTTGACAGATGTCCAGGGAATATAATGAGAAGGCGTTAAATATTGTTTCGTTGAATCGTTCTGGAAATCAAAGGTAAATACATAAACAGGGAATCAAAATTTCTATCAAGCGTCCCAGAAAAGTGGTTGTGCCACGGATTCCTCAAATAAAAAAAAGTTTGTTTAAGTCTAAGGTAACTAAGGTAAGTTACTCCTAGTCCAATAAAGCTTCAATTAAAAGTTATTAGTCTTACTTTGAAATGGTTTTTTGTTTATATCTGAAAATCAACAAGGTATCAAACCAAATTTGGTGGTACATATTATAAAGGCATGGGAAGCAGTAAAAATAACCTCTTTTTTTTTAAATCGCTTCCCTTATGGAATTCTTAAGGAAGACGACTGAATTTCTGAATTATCTGTTGACGTGCCTCAATATCACCTTTTGTGCAATGCAATTTCTATTAAAATTGCTCGATTTTGAGTAAAAAGATATTAAATTTGTCCAAAAAATACCAAATTGATTCTAGTAAGTCTAAGTCTAGTCTAAGGTAAGTTACTCCTAGTCCAATAAGGCTTCAATTAAAAGTTTTTAGTTTTACTTTGAAATGGTTTTTTGTTTATATCTGAAAATCAACAAGGTATCAAGCCAAATTTTTGGTGCACGGGAAGCAGTAAAAATAACCTCTTTTTTTTTAATTCGCTTCGCTTATGGATTTCTTAAGAAAGGCGACTGAATTTCTGAATTATCTGTTGATCTGCCTCAATAGTCATCTTTTGTGCAATACAATTTCTATTAAAATTGCTCGATTTTGAGTAAAAAGATATTAAATTTGTCCAAAAAATACCAAATTGATTCTAGCAAGTCTAAGTCTAGTCTAAGGTAAGTTATTCCTAGTCCAATAAAGCTTAAATTAAAAGGTTTTAGTTTGAAATAGTTTTTCGTTTATATCTGAAAATCAACAATGTATCAAATCAAATTTTTGATGGTACACATTATAAGGGCACGGGAAGCAGTAAAAATAACCTCTTTTTTTTAAATCATTTCGCTTATGGATTTCTTAAGGAAGGCGACTGAATTTCTGAATTATCTGTTGATCGAAATTGCTCGAATTTGGTAAAAAGATATTAAATTTACCCAAAAAATACCAAATTGATTCTAGCAACTATATTTATTTCATACAAACTTTTTTACTTTTAAGAATCAATTTTTACAAAATATGATTTTGCAGTTCATTATAAAAATATGTTCTGTCCATAAATAGTGAATTAGATTGAAAACATTTACTAATAAAATAATCTTTAGTAAAATAGTCTACCTAAAATTTAAAAATGGCTGTTCAATACTACTTTTCCGAACTAGTAGACTTCAAATCAGCGAACTGAATCCTTTATTCGGATATATATCGGTTCTCGGATATTAATAAAAAACATTTCAAAACATCACATAACAACTTATAATTTTTAAACAAAGCATTTGTGGTGTAAGGTAAGCTGTCTTAAATTGAATTTTTACTTCAGTAATCTGTGGTTGCTACATGACCACTGTTTTCTGAAACACCCTGTATAGTCATTAGCCAACTGCTAAAAAAATGCTTTTTCAATAATAAATTAGTATGGAAAACATTAAATAAAAAAATTAATGATCTCATACCTGGTGCATAGTAGTCATAAACCCTGATGGGTAAGAACTGGGACATATTAGCTACCGGATACCATCTTTCTACAGTAAAATTGATACAGGTTTCCTCATATTCCAACTAAAAAAAATTTCACACGGTTAAATTTTGAGAATATCTTTCTCGACCAATACTCACATAATCGAAATAAAATATGACTTTTCTTTCTAGGAAACGCGCTCTTTGAAGGTTCTTAACACTTCTTGACAAAATATATGCGTCTAAATCTTGTTGTTGAATAATATAGCCGGTTGGGATTCCTACATCCAAAACGGCTAATCCTGATCGGTTAGATTCTGACAAATGGTTCCATCTGAAAGCAGTACACAATTTTATAAATACATTTTTTTAATAAAATCGGGCATAAATGTCTATTTACAAGGAGAGCATGACATAAAATAAAACTAATACACAGGCATAAAAAAATATGTATTGCAAGGTACAATAATATGTATATACAACAACTACAAATGGCATACAGGGAACATTGGTAAATAATCGTATAATATGCAAGATTTAAACATTACATTTTTGTTACTGAGAGAAAAATTTCCACCTGTGTTCTATTGGTCTATTTAAGAGGAAATTAAAAAAAAAATTGTTTGTACTTTTTCCAACTAATCAGGTTAAGGGCCGGTACTTTCAGTCTAGATTAAATACACCGTTAACTAATCGATCTATAAATTAATCCNTGAAAAATTATTACAAAATAATGAAAATAAAATTTGTAACTTTAACACCCCGGATCTTAGTTAATATATCAACTTTTCAACTAAGGTACGTTTAGCTAAATCGTAATTTTTTTACATAACGAGTCTGCCATTGCTCTATGTGCACGTACTTATGGAGTAGTTATATATTTGATTGATTCTAGATGCAACTGAAAAAAATTTTCATTGTGAGAATAAAAGAAATCGAAGAAGCAATAAAAAAATATTTAAGAAGGAGTAAGGAAAGGAGTGATGCAGAGGAAAAAAAGAGGAGAAGCAAAGGCGAATAAATTTGATAAACAGTATTGTAAGTTATACAGGGTGATCCAATAGTGAAAATTTTTTGGTAAATTATTGAGCATCAAAGTGCGCAACTTTGCCTCTATTTAACCAACTCTCTATATCTCCTATAGTTACTGAGATAGCAATGCTATTGACTCGATTTTGTAACACCCTGTATATTAGATAGAGAAATAAGATGTATTGGAGAGAATTATATGGATCTCTTAATTATTTATGTATTTGTTATTCCTGTAATAATTAGAAAAACAATAAATACATTATCAAAAGTATTTCTATAATTCCAATGCAGACCTCCATTAAATGTACAAAACAAGACATCTATGGGTAGCACAAATTTGGTACAGAGGCGGACATATTCTGTGGGTCCGAAAGTGGTACAGTAGTGGACGTCCGTGGGTTGCACGAAGTTGTGACATTTGTGCGTCCGTGGGACTTCCAATGGACGTCCATCGAACAAAAACCGGACGTCCGTTGGATGTCCGGACTTCCGACTTTGGACATCCTTTGGATGTTCATAGGATGTCCTTGTGCTATTAGGGAATATGCAAGATTTAAACATTAATTTTTTGTTACTGAGAGAAAATTTTCCACCTGTGTTCTATTGGTCTATTTAAGAGGAAATTAAAAAAAAAAATTGTTTGTACTTTCTCCAACTAATCAGGTTAAGAGTGCCATAATACTGATCCATATTCGAGTTTTGATGTCGCAAGTATACGTATTATAAAGTTTTATAAAAGTACTAATGCTTAAAATTTTTTTACTCCCTCATTATAAATTCTAAACTTTTATATGATGATGCTCTTCCAAGTTGTCGATACGCTGTATGCATATGAAAAATTATGTGGTAGGTTAATGAAATTAAAAAATAGTAAAGTTTCTAAATTTGATCCCTGAGGGACTCCTGAATAGGCTTCATAATCACTAGATCAGTATCCATTATATTTGACAAAGAAGAAACAATTAATAAATTAAAAAAGGATGCTAGAATTAAAGTGTGGTCATATGTGGCTAATTTTGTAACTATACAGGGTGTCTCATAATTAGTGTCCAATAATTTACCACTTGAGTCTACTGCCAAAAATAAGAATATATTTTCATACAAACATGGGTCTAGAAATGCTTTTTAAGGGAGCTAGGCTCCCCTAAATGGAGCCTCAAAAAATTCATTTTATTAAATATTTCCTAAACGGGTAGAAGGAAAATTATGAATTTTGACATCGTGAACGCTCATAAAAAGTTGATCATAAAATTTTAAAAAAATTTTAATCAGGGGCATCTCAATTGGGGTCGGCTAAAATTTGCCCTAATTTTTTTGCTTGTCGAAATTTTCAAATTCAGATGCCAATAGATGGTAGACCCTTATTTCCTTCACAAAAAAGGTACTCTTTATTTCTTTCGATAAAATGCTCCATTTACAAGAAAAACGGATCTAAGCACAATTTTTTTTACATTACTATTTTCAAATTTAAACAGTAAAATTTGATAGATCTGACTTTTCTCTGGTAATGGTAATGTTGTGTGCTTTTCTAATCACTTAAATCTGTTTTTCTTGGAAATAGAGTACCTTTTTTGTAAAGGAAATGAAAGTCTATCATATGTTAGCCTCTGAATTTGAAAATTTCAACAAGCAAAAAAATTGGGGCAAATATTAGACGACCCCCCCCAATTGAGACGCCCCTGATCAAAATTTTAGAAAAATTTTATGATGATCTATTTTGACTTTTAATGAGTGTTCATGGTGTCAAAATTCATAATTTTCCTTCAACCCGTTTCGGAAATATTAAAAAAAAAAATGAATTTTTTGAGGCTCCCATTTCTCGACCCATGTTTATACGAAAAAATATTCTTATTTTTGGCAATAGAATCAAATGGTAAATTCTTGGACACTAATTATGAGACACCCTGTATACTACATCACACCTCCTTAGCTAGGAATCTTTGACCGACCCTTGTTGTTCTTGGGCTAGGCTCTCTGTGGGCAGACCCACCATTGGATGGTTTGATAAAGAATTTACAAATTAATTGCTACTGATTTTTTTGATACAAAACTGTGTCGACTGTTACTAAGCAAATTACTAAAACTGCCACGCAAAGGTATAAATATGCCCCAATCTTACCTTTGACAGCTGGTATAGGTTATATGAGAGTGATTCCTGCCAGCGTACGTCTGTTTGGTCCATAGATCAAAAGCGGTGACGGGCGGTTCGGTCTGGAATCTTTTCACGTCTACATTGTACTGCACGGACATCTGCAAAATTGCGTACCCGGTACCCTTTCCTTGAACTTTCACTGTACCCCAAGCGTCCGGTATATCTATATACTGGAGTTTCGCTCTGTTCATATCGTTGACGTACATAACCTTGGCTTCACCAGGCAAACACGCCGCCTCGATTGAAACGGAAAGACTAGAAATGTCACGAATACGTTGCGAAGAAGTGTACTCGATGAGAGCTTTCATGGCATTTGCGGTGTCCATAGTGGACGCCCAACCCCCGTCAGTCAACCGCTGAGTGTTAAGCCACCGAACGATGTTGTCCACAAATATTTCTTGTCTGGCAACATACACCATCAAAGCGTAAGCTGTCGCCTCGATATTTTCAGAATCGTATTCATACGGGAGGCGGGGCAATGAGAATGGTATGTGGTTTTCTAGTTTTGTCGGTGGCTGGGGCACGTATTTTCTACCCCAGTACAATAAACCACCTTCCGAGTGTTGTCTCCGAGACAACTCGATAAACACCATTTCGGCGTTCGGTGCTTTGCTTTTCATCAGGGTGTAGGCTACTATGGCCACTTCGAACGGGTTGCCCTCGTCTCTAAGCAAGTCCATGTTACGTTCCAGCCAATGAATTGCCCTTTGTGCCGCTATAGCCACTTTTGAACTGAGACCACCTAAAAAAGTTTTACGTTACATACGTCACGTGTAAAAGCTGAACACTTACTTGTTAAATCTTTCACAGACTCCAACATGATAAGTACATGAGCAGTTAACGTGATGTTTCTATATCTAATTGGATCGTTTTCCAAGTTAAGACTAGAATTGTATTTACGGTCGGGTAACCAACTCTCTTCCCAGAAGGCGCCTTCTGGGTGTTGGTGCTTAAGTACCCACTCCACGGATTTGGCGATGATGGCCGGGTCGATATAAATATAATTCTCCCACTCGTAAAAACTGGCTTCTTGGAAAATGCGAATGCAGTACGATGTTAACCAGACGGAAGATGCCGATTGGTTCCTAAAAAATCATTTTAATACACATATAAATATCAAAGATTAGAGAGAGGAAAGATAGGAAGTGCATACATATGGTCACCATGGAAATAACAACGATAAAATTAATAAACAACAATAAAATTAATAATGAATAAACATCAGATGCATTAGAGGGTGCCAAATCAGTAGATAGAATCGATGTCCAGCCTATTGGTTCAACAGAAGATTTACATTTGAGGCATCAGAAGTAGTCCAGTCATTCTGTCCAAAAATAAGGCGAAGAAGAGAAAGTGAACCGGGAAAGCCAAATTTTAGAAAAGCTTAATTGAGATTTGAGACCAATATTTCCTATGTGCATTTTCCGCGATCTTGGAAAAAGTGGTGAATTTTTGTTTTTCTATAACTCGGTTCCCCGTCAAGATACAGAATTGTCGTTTGGTGTTTTTTGTTCCTCTTTCGACGATCTATAATTTAGGTCCTATAAACTTTCAACCTATTATTGTTAGTTGTTGAGATATCGAACAAAATAGATATAAGTTCAAAGATTCGATCTGGTTTTTCGGGTTTTTCTCTTTTTCCTTAATACTTATCGAAAATATGTCTATTATAAAACTTGTAGGGGGTGGTTGTACAAACAATTTGGTGTCTTTGTTTTTTCTCTAGGGTGATAATTGCGTGTTATATGGCGCCGCGAATACGGCAAGTTTGTGCGAAGTTTCGATTTTTCCGTCCGCGCGCCGCCATCTTGAAGAAAGCGGTAAATTATGTTTTCGCGATAACTCGGTTCTCCGTCGAGATACAGATTTGTTTTTTTTTGTTACTTTTTGTTTTTCTACCGACGATCTACAATTTAAGTCTTATAAACTTTTCACCTATCATTGTTACTTGTTGACATATATAACAAAATAGATAAAAATTCAAAGATTCGATCTAGTTTTTCGGGGTTTTCCCTTTTTCCTTAATACTTCTTCCTCGAATGTCGTACTCTTTCTGAAGTTTTGGTTCCGGCGATACTCATGTCACATGGATAACCATCGAATATAATCATGACACAATTATTACCCCAGAGAAAGAACAAAAGTATTAAATTGTTCATACGAATATCCTCTACAAGTTTGATAATATACATTTTTTCGGTAAGTATTAAGGAAAAAGAGAAAAACCTGAAAAACCAGATCGAATCTTTGAATTTTTATCTATTTTGTTCGATATCTCAACAACTAACAGTTGAAAAGTTTATAGGTCCTAAATTGTAGATCGTCGAAAGAGAAACAAAAAACAACAAAACAACAATTCTGTATCTTGACGGGGAATCGAGTTATAGCAAAAACAAAAATACACCCCTTTTTCCAAGATGGCGGAAAATGCACATAGGAAATCTTGGTATCAAATCTCAAGTTAAGCTTTTCTAAGCACCCCCCACAACATATAAAAAATTTGGCTTTCCCGGTTCACTTTCTTTTCCAAATGCACAGAATGACTGGACTAAGGGAGCAACAGTTGATACTATGAAATTGGGAAATTTAAATTTTCAAACGTTTTGGGTATTTAAACGTCAAATACTCATACTCAATTGCTATTTTTTTAACTTTTTAGTACATTAATGCTAAGAGTACACCAAATTAGTATTAAAACCTTAAAGTTTTAGGCAGTGCCACTTTTTCAAGGCAGAGGAGGCAAGCCTCCGCAAAACATTTTAAAGGATAAATTTATCATATTTTTTTTGGTACTAAGTTTGACGCAAAGTGTAATAATAAATTTATATTTTAGAAAATGTTACTTTTGACCATATTACCCAATAAACTTACCAATCACTTCTAAATGTGCTGAACGATCCATCAGGCTGCATGAAGGACATCTGTCGTTGATAACCAATATTCATATAATAAAATGCCTGCCTTTCCAGAGTTTTATTCTTAATTTGAGTATAACGCATATAGAGCAAAGTATACATGTTGACGGCAAAAGAAAATATGTTTTGTTCTCCAGAATCCTAAAATATTATAGGCACGTGAAGTAGAGAAAAAAATCTTACTTGAAACTAAAGCGACTATTAAGTACGTATATATTTACCATTGGTAAATGTAGAAGAGATGTAGCATTCATTGGCATTGTTGGAAACACGGGTCCGACAACGTCACCCACAATCGATATCCTTGCTTTATTGGATCCGTAGATATAGTAACGATCGTATTCGTACGGAATAATAGGAGTTTCGGTAACGTTGATGTGCATGTATTGGAACGCATAAGCACGGTTACTCAAATCAAGGAGCATGGATTGATGCCTGTGTTGTGGAAGGCCATCAGACTGAAAAGAAATAAAGAACATATATCATCACCGCAAAATTAATACTGAGTTATTAATATTTACTTCTACGTGCAACATTCTTGTGATTCTGTCTGTACCAATAAGTGTGGTAGCGTGGACTGAGACCTCGATATCACCAAGACGAGTTGGAACGATGGGTATATAAACTACAGCTGCATCTTGCGCCTAAAAAAGTATATAAGTCACGGATTATTCTTTAGAATAATTAATTTTTACTGACTTTAATAAAAATGAGGAACTGATGTTCTCCGAAGGATGTCCGAGGATTATAGGCTCTAACAAAGCCGTTTTCCTCAACGTGAACAAATTTATAATCGGGTGACCCATTTAGCACAACGGTGGCCTCCATATTGTCCAACATGTAGTTGAAAACGGTGACACGGATACCAACTTGTTCACCTTGCATGCAAATGTTTGGCATTTCTACATTTATGAAGAAAGGCAAGACACCGACGTACTGCAAAAAATATTCCAAGTTTTTTTGTCCTATGAAAAATATTTTAATATATCCTACCTCGATAGCCTTGTTTAACATTCCAAAACCTTTGGAAGGGCTCATGGAAAAAGCGGAGATCATCCAATGGACAGGTCTCGCTGGTACGGGAACATTAAAGATGTAACGGCCGTGCGGACCTATATTCACGTCTTTCCATAGCCACACGTTCTCATATTGTCGTTGGATCCTGTTGAATCTAAACTTGCGGAAGAGTGCCAGCTCCGTTGTATTTTCATAATGACCTAACAAGATCCATTGGTTAAAAATAAAATCTTTATAGTTACAGAAATTCTCCTTAACAAAGAAAATTATCTTTCTTTTTCTTTAAAGCGTTTATTCAAAGACACCCCTGAATAGCAGACACCTCTACGTAATGGACAATTTTGCTTTCGCAGGATTTCACAATATTACATCTTAAATGGACCCTATATAATATTGAGGGTGTCATATCAGAAGGGCGTACGAACCAAATCTGAAATTTTACTGGAAATGAAAAAAACGTTTTAGAAATCAAGATTTAGAATGAATTTGTTGATTTTGACAATATAACAAGCCCAATACATTATAGTTCACTGGGGAGATTTAACATCTAGTAAAATGCCAACATTTAATGCGCCATCTGATATTAGGATGTGCGTGGAACGGGTATTAAATTTATTTAAATAATAGGCGTATAGTATACAAAAATATGCTTTATTAATACAGTAATTGTATTAATACCAACTAAAATTTGTTACATTTAATGTATGTGCCTTTTCCTCTTTATAAGTCGTTCTCGTACTTGTAGAGACGTCTCGTCATCAAATTCTTCATCATCGGAATTTTAGCAATTATTTATTACTGGCAAAGAAACATAAATATTTATATTCTGGAGGAATTACTGCATCTTTGCCTTAGCACATAGACAATAAATTGTTATACTTTAATTTATTTATACGAAGTTCTTCAGAATACAGCGATGTTGTAATATTGACTGGGTGTTGAAGACACTTACAAAAAAAACAACACAATTTTTATCTACGAACATTTACAAGTTTAACCAAATGTAAGGTTGTGTGAAATTTACCAAATCAGCTGAGGGCGTATCAGCCAATACTGCCTAGCAGGCGTAAAAGAAATACAGGAGTATTAGAAGGGCATATGAGCATACGCCTTTGTGATATTATAGTTTTGCAGAATTGGTTCATACGCCTAAATAAAATGCATTAGAATAGAGTGTTGATGTTTATGAATATATACGTCCTTCTGATATGACACCCTCGATATGGAAGCGAACACTATTCTTCACCAAGACACGAAAATATATGTAAAATTATCTGGTAATAGCGTACAGACGAGACGATACCAGGTTAGTGTATACACCTACTAGCTATTGTTCGTTTAATTCAACCAAATGATTTGGAATCATCTAATGGTTTAATTGCACCTCTATGTACCCTCATTTTTCCCGAACGGCCAGCTGAATTTGACCCAAAAAAAATAATTAAAGTGGACTTTAATAACTGAATATGAATTTATTATTAATATAATGTTATATAATTTTTTTAAGCTCTTTCAACAAAGACCCGAAGTAGATTGGTCAATAAATATATTTTTTACAATAATAAGACGGATTCTGCGTTTTTTTTATTATTTACCGAACATTTTAATATTTCCCGTTGGTGTCCGCTATAAGGGGATTATACTGTACTTACATCCTGCTTCATCGCTTCCATCCTGACAATCTCTGTAGAAATCGCACCTTTTCCTGAAATGATAGCACTGTCCATTCAAGCATTCTAGAAACCCATTAGTAGCGTTACAGGCACTAGGCTTCCTAGGTAAAACGAAATCGCTGAACACTACCAGTCCGGCGAATTCAAAAGTCCTGTTGGCATCAATACCAAAAGTGCTGGACGGGAAGTACACTAATTCATCGGGATTGCCTTCGTGCGAAAACCAAGTATGTTGGTAGGTCCCATTGGACTGTTCGTCGAACTTTGACATTTTTGTGATGACTTTGGCGTACGTCAGTTCATTTCCAGCTTGCATGGTGTAGAATGCTTTGTCGATGCCTGACAATCCAACGTAAGAGCCCGGTTCGCCGTAAATGGCCACTTCTACTTTCTGGCCCGTGCGGGCCTTTTTGTTATTGATGAATACTTTGAACTAAAAGGAAGAAATATTTGAAACAATTATAATCTGAACTATTATTTATGAATGAAAATTAATATTAAGAACTACCTTATTTCTGCTGATGCCGTTCACTGGAAAAGTGAGACTGTCAACTTGAATATCCCCGTATTTACCCACGTGCCAAACAATGATCGTGGCGACGGGAGCCATCTCAGCACTCAACGCGATCGCCATTGTACTCACAAAATCGTTCATATCTTGGTCACCGGTTAACAACACAATACCTTTTGATATTATGAGATAATTGAACTTTTCAATGTAGTAGTTGCTCCTTATGTGGAAAATCATGTATTCTCCGACCTGAAGAAATAGTTATAAATCATTTATTAGGTAAAGGCCAATAATTTGTTTACCCTAGGGCTTATGGTGCTTGTAACGACTTTTATATGCTGATCGTTCATGCTGTAATGGGCCAACATTAACAGTTCCGCTTGCGCTCTCTGACCCGTGTAACCATCCTTATAAACGGCATTAATTTTTAATGTACCTAGAAAAATAATTTACCCTTTAGGATTCTTAAAATATATTAGTTTGTATACAGTTATAAAGTGTAGAAAAATATTTTTATCCTTTTGACTTTAAAAACAATATCATAAATTTGTTTCCTCAAATTGAAAACTTTTTTTTCCATAATATTCATACTCCGCCATTAGACAAGCTAGTGTAAATTCAAACAACTGCATGTGCTAGCTTCAAGCGAATACCCAATGGGAGCTATGGCATGCAGTGTTGACAAATCTCATATTTCTCAATGCATATACAGGCTTAGAACTATTTAAAGGGAGACTACAGGGATATCGGAAACCGTTAATCATACAGGGTGGCTCAAATTACAAAAAAGTTGCACAATTATGGGGCGAGTGTTTTGGTGAAAACAGATCCAAGATATCTTCGATAGTTTCTGAGATATCTCGGACAAAGTGAAAATATCGATTTTCTATTTTTCATTATAACTCATTTGTTTTTTAAGATAGCCTCACGGAATTTTGTATGTAGGCATTATCCAACATGGCGATTTCAATGGTGAGTTCAGATTTTTTCTATCTTTCATTGTTTCAGAGTCGCGATAGTCAACTTTTTTTTTTCTTATGGACGCCATATTGGTTCTCCTCATGGATGGATAAAGAAAAAAAATACGAATTCAACGATGTATCACACTTTACAAAAACATCCTGTCTGTCTGCAGCAATTTGAATTTCTTTTTAATTTTTCTGAAGTAGTAGGCTGATGTCCAAATTGTCATTTTCTTTAGTGTAAAACATGGTGTTCCATTTAAATTAACAAAGTTAATATCCCGGGCCATATTGTTTGAACTTCATTTGTTTTTCTACATCATTTTCAAGAACTTCATAAAAAATAGTGCAACTTTTGTATTTCACATTTTTTTATAACTCTTAAAACAAAAAAGTTAAAGGGGGGTCAAATATAGTGAATCACCCTGTACATTAAATGGGCCTAAGTACTTGGACCTTCTACAAAATTATGTAGAGGAATTTCTCCAAACATTGCCGGTTATGCGTTATGTGGAATGCTGATATCAGCATGATGGTGCTCCAGCACATAGTACCTTGCAAGTGAAACAATTTTTAAATAACAGATTTGGTGAACAATGGACTGGGAGAGATGGACTCATTAATTGGCCGACCAGAACTCCGGACATGAATCCTATGGATAATTTTGACCCCCCCATTAACTTTTTTGTTTTAAGAGTTATAAAAAAAAATGTGAAATACAAAAGTTGCACTATTTTTTATGAAGTTTTCGAAAATGATGTAGAAAAACAAATGAAGTTCAAACAAAATCGCCCCGGATGTTAACTTTGTCAATTTAAATGGAACACCATGTTATGTTTTACACTAAAGAAAATGGCAATTCGGACATCAGCCTACTATTTCAGAAAAATTAAAAGTTAAGAAAAAAAAAGTTCACTATCGCGACTCTGAAACAATGGAAGATAGAAAAAATCTGAACTCACCATTAAAATCGCTATGTTGGATAATGCCTAGATACAAAATTTCGCGAGGCTATCTTAAAAAACAAATGAGTTATAACGAAAAATAGAAAATCAATATTTTCACTTTTTTCGAGATATCTCAGAAACTATCGAAGATATTTTGGATCTGTTTTCACCAAAACACTCGCCCCATAATTGTGCAACTTTTTTGTAATTTGAGCCACCCTGTATGACTAACGGTTTCCGATATCCCTGTAGTCTCCCTTTAAATAGTTCTAACCCTGTATATGTACAGTTTTTATCCAGTATTAGGACTGATGTCATAAAAAGAAATTTATTACAAATTTATATATAGGGTGATTCAGAACTTATCCAAAAAAAAATTCTGGATGTACAGGGGACTCTTACAAACACAATTTTATAAAGAAAAAATCAAAAAGGGCAGTTCATAATGATTTAAAAATACACTTCTGCACGGCACTGGAAACTGGTCCACTGTAAAACCAGACCTGGCACAATGCGACCGGCATGGCGGTGTGATAAAAACGGACTAAAACTTTTGCAAGGAAAAAAATAAATAGAATTTTATCGAACCTATTTTATATCGACAAATTCAAATGCTTTTGCCTTTATTAATTAATAAAATTAATTTGTGTTTTTAAATAATAAAATCATTTGACATACCCGATGTTACAACAACAATTGTTCAAAATTTTATCCACTAACGTGTAAACACATTTGGGTCCATCTTACTCACTTTCTACGAACTAACACAAATGATGTATGTCTTGCTTCACCATAACACAAATGCTTCACCATAATACAAATGTTGCCTTGCTTCACCATAAATTAAAACGATATCCATCAACTCGGAGTTGCTATACACGCAAACCATTTTTGACACTAACTACTAAAAAACTGTTATAAACACCACAGATAACAGGTAAACATTATCGCAACAACGGATTTCAGTATTCAGAGTCGTTAAGGCCACGTGGCTCTCCACGCGTATTGCGAATGATACTAGAGACTACAATTGTCCAGCTATGTAGTGGTTGAATGTACTATAACTTCAATAATTTTTTTCTCGGAAACTATTAAGGATTTTTTTTACGATATTAACTCCATTTTTCATGCAGCATCTATTCCCAATTTTTTTTGGATAAGTTGTGAATCACCCTATATATGCACTGAGTTAGAATGCTTTGCCATGATGGAGCATCCAAGTATTGGAGATGATTAGGTTCTACATAAAATTTACCAATCACTATTTTCCCAGCAGGCGCAAACTCCTGGTGGACCACACATTGTGCACTAAAGCGAATGAGCATTGTCTTCTCTTTTGATTTGCTCATATGGACTTTTTTTGGTCGAGGGCTTATGTGCCACTTAGCACTTTTGGTCTTGATCATATTTGAAAAAAAAATTGTTGCTGGTTATCATTTTGTCCAAAATATTTGGATCGAGCTCCAAATTTACTAACGGTGTCACTTCTGCTTATCTCCTAAAACTTTCAGCACCAACATCACACCCACACTTTCCGCATTTGAAAATCATCAGTTGAATTGAATGTTCGGTGGACTTCGCTAGATTCATTTCCTGTGCTATCAAACGAACACTTAACCAGATATCAAAGTTTGGCCACATTTTCATTGGTTTAGATCATTGTCGAATGTTCAGCACGTTGTTCGTCTTCAGCGTCTTCCCAGCCACCTTTGAATTTTTTTATGTCACTCAAAAACACGAGTTCTGGACATGGCTTTGTCATTGTCTCAGGGATCATAACAAAGGTTTCCATAGCGGATTTGTTCAGTTTAACGTAAAATTTAATGGTCAACGCTCAATTGACTTGCGATTTAAACACTACACACTTTTACTTCAGATGTGATCTACACACATAACACAAATTCTATTTTAATACTACCCGAAGTTACCATACTACAAACCTTGTAAACTCAAACTGAAGAAAATTAAAATAAATGTGATAAAATGCAGCACTATTCTCATTGCACAGAATTAATGTTGGCCGTTTGTTTTTTGCCCATCTAAACTAGGTCAATGTGGGAAGTCATTGAGACTGTGATTTAAAAAGTAAACACAGTAATTTAAGAAAATAATAACAGACTCTTTTTAATAAAAACTTGAAATGTTTTCAAAAATGTTTCAAATCTTCCAGATTAATAAGTATTTTTATTTATATTTTATTATGTGCATTTTATAAAACAAGCAAAATAGTTATTTTAAAACTTAAAATTAGTGTTACTTTCATTTAGTAATAAATATTTAATAAATCGTGCAAATAATACAAATTTTTTAAAAACACTCAAAATCAGATTAGTGGAAAAAATGCAATATTATCCTTAAAAAACTGACCCTCTTATACTTACACCCTGTGTAATATAGTTAGGCAACCAGACAAGCTTAGGAATGATAATACTAGATGGCGACTCATGTTCGTAATATAAATAACGACAGAGATTTCAAGGCAGTCGTGAAATAGGGTTTTCTTTCCCAAGTTACTGACACATTATCCTTATAACGAGCGTTCAAATAAAAACGTGGTCGAAGTTGGCTCTGACACATTGGACGTAGGGAGTAGCTTATAGCGACCAACTTAACCTCATTTCTCAACGAGCTGTATAGCAGCTGTCAGTTTCAATAACGTTAATGACTATATAACTTTATTTTAAAGAATAATCGTGATAACAATAACAAACAATTAAAGGAGCTGCGGAAAGTGTCCCCCTCCTTGTTATAACAATAAATTAAAGCAGCTGCTGAAAGTGTCCCCCTCCTTGTTCCAAGCACTTTTCACACCTGTTCCTCAAAGAATTAAAGACATTTTCTAAGATGCTCGGGGTATTGTTAATTTCACGAATCTTGTCTATAAGTCGAGCCTGCAGATGGTTTAAATCAGGAATAGGCAGTTCAAAAATAGTGTTTTTAAGGTAAGGCCACAAAAAGAAATCACACGGCGTAATATCACATGACCTCGGTGGAAATTCATGTTCAGCATTGAGACTTATTAGTCGATTTTGGAAAACTTCCCTCAACATATTCATCGTCTCGCCTGCCGTATGTGCCCTTGCGCCATCTTGTTGAAAGTAAAAGTTTGTAATTTCGTTTTCTTCCAGCTGGTTAACAAAAGGAGCGATAATTTCTTCTCTATACCTTTGCGCAGTAAGAGTACCATTAAAAAAAATAGGTCCATAAATCCTCCTTCGATTGAGAGCACACCAAACTCCAATTTTTTGAGCGTGTAGAGGGCCCTCGACAAAAAAGTTATCTGGTTTTTCAGAAGACCACATTCTCATATTCTGTGAGTTTACGTAACCACTTAAATGAAACCAGGCTTCATCAGAAAAAAAGGTGATATTATGAAGTTCACCGTAGTTGTTTAAAAACCATTCACAAAATACAGCCCGTCGCGGAAAATCAACTTCATGAAGTTCTTGCTGACAAGTTAAACGATAGGAGAACAAACGCAAATCTTTTTTTAACACTGTGTGGCAGGTACCGACTGATACTCCCACCATTTGTGATAAAACACGTACAGAAGTTCTTGGCGCATTTTCCATTATTTGTTGGACATTTTCTTTTAATTCTTCAGTCCGCTTTTTAGGTCGGCCGCTTCCTTCTTTTCTTGTTACACTGCCCGTTTCACGAAAAACATTAACACAACGCTGAACTGCACTTTGAAAAATTTTGTACTCAACAACGCCGGGAAATTGATTTTGAAATTCTATGAAACATTCCTCAATAGAATACTTCCATATTCCATCAATCTTGCGTCCATTTCTAAAGTAGGACTCTATGATAAACACTTTTTGTTCTTCAGAAAACACCATTTTAAACGCTTTTTAAAACGAAAATATTCAAATTGATAGCGGCGATATAGCGCTTTGACAGATGACGTTTATTTATTATTTATTACGTCCAAATTTTCAGAACCAACTTGACCACGTTTTTATTTGAACGCTCGTTATATTAAAAGCTGTAGGTTACTCTCACTCCCACACACGGCCGCGAAAAGAGGCGACTTGCCATATCAAAGGCTTTCCTCGCGAGCCCTTCCTTTATCGCAACGTCGTTTTCGGAACGCGATCTGTTTGCACCTTCTATGTGAAATTTCCACTTTAAAAAGAGTTCTCGCCGAAAATTGACTTTCTTTGGTGCAAGAGAGATACCCGAAATATATTTGATATTTAGACGGAGATGGAGACAAACGTCAGTTAAGACGTCAAAATAAATTTTGTCATTTGACCCATTCTCCCGGCCGATCGGGCCACGGTGAGTTGTTATTTTGCCGATCTTTTAGAGAAGCTACTTTGACGATAAAACTTGATTTGAACATTTTCAATTTTCTGTTTACATTTGCGGAGACCCAAGGTTTCAAATAGCCCGTGCAAGCTCCACCCGGCGTAGCTCATTTTGTAAACTCGCGACTGCGCAGCCAGAGGCCCGGGATTCGAAACGCGGGCGAGTTACATTTTTTCTTTTTTTTTTAAATGTTATATTATTTATTTACTAACCCACAGAGAATGCACTGCGGAACAGTACTTGGGCCGAAGACCTGTGAGAAAGGTCAAGTCTGCGTCAGCGGACTTGCCTACCTTTCTAGTAATAATTGAATTGGTAATATTTTTACCTATTTGACTAAGCTCCTCATAAGCTTTTGGTCCACTTATACCTAGATCTCGCTTTATATCAATCTTATATTCCCAAATGCCGGGATTTTCATCCATCTGATGCAGCTGTCGGATCGGTATGTCTCTTCTACCTCCACCTCTCATTTCTACTCCAGTCGTCACTTCAAGGACACTACTTCGTAGGTTCTCAGTAGTCAGAGGTGAACCATCATAGTATGAAGCAACAAGCTAAAAAAAATATTAATATATCATTTCGATAACAGTAAAAATTTTTGTTTATACTGACATATGCTGTTATTGGCATTCCAGGTTTGAAAACCTGTGGCGAGTCGCCCAAAAATTTTAGTTCAATGGAGGAATTGAACACTCTAGCAGTTGAATAACCTTCGACGACTTCATCGAGAAATCTGTCACCCACAGTGGCCTTAACGACAATTTCCATTCCATCTAGGGAGGAAACGTAGTGCAAGAGTTCCTGAATCGGATATTTAAATTCGTAAACACCTTCAAACTGAAATTAAATAACGTTTATACAAGTTACTTATCGTGGGTTAGCACAGAACTCACAAATTTCATGACGGGTACAGGTTCGTAATAATTTTCAGGTACGTTAAACCAAAATGGCAATTGTTCATCAAAATTAAAATACTTTTCTATTACTGGCTTGTCATAACTGCTATACTGATCACGGTATGTATTATTCGCAGGATAATTGTAAGGATAGTTTTGATCAAAGCCTCTATTTGGATCATAATACTGATTGGGCACATCCATGGGCCTAGGGATATTTTTGTTTATCATTCTACTAGGATCTATAGGCCTGATAGGCCTCACTGTGGCTTTTAGTGTTAAATTGCCCTTTACAGGAGCGCCACTGGTGTAATTCGCCATGACTAGTCCGTGAATATACTGCTCTGTGTTTAAGAAGAAGGCTGGCATGGTAACATTAACCTAAAACCCATAAACATTAATACCACTTTTTGGCAAAAATCTACTCGTTTTCACCTCAAATCTTGTTTGATAATACTCTTCTACCAAAAATGTCGATTCCTCAATTTGTCCCTGAGCGATAACCCTAATTTTCCATTCCCCAAATACTGGTTGATCAGAGAGCTGATAATCCAAACTGACCGTACCTAAATTTGATTGTCGAGACAACCACCGTTTCATAATATGTCCATTAGGGTTCAGCATAAACACATCAACAGCATCGTTGAAAGCTTTTAAGTCGAAGTTTATTGGTATTGTTCGGAAATGTACTGAAACAGCCTTACATATTTCATTTGAACATTAAAAATTTCGATTTTCTTACTTTTTTCACCTTGCATATACACAGGTTTGTCTAGTTGTATAAAAATGGTCATCGACCTCTGAGAAAAGGTCAATTTCGTCTCGTTAACAAATGCAGCACCTCCCAGAACATCTTCGTAGAGACCTTCAACTCTTAGTTTATATTCACCGATAGCACTAGTTGTAGGAACCTGTCAAATATTTTATTTTCATTGTCAACAATATACAAACAATTGGTAGTAGTAGACAGATCTATTTTAAAAAATATTTGTTTTTTTATCATTTTATGGAAAAATTTTATTGAATGAAGTCAAAGAATGTTCTTCAATATCAAAAATTTAGACCCCACAGACAAGATTTTTAACTTTAATGTAACCATTCAAAGCAATATCTTGGATTTTTGTTGTTCCAACATCAAGGATGATATTCTGGTATCAAAGAACATTGTTAGACTTCTTTCGATAAGATTTATTAGAAAAAATCTTTAAATTTGTTTCAATTAACTTAATATCTTTACAATAGAGTAAAGATATACATATTTTTAAATTTCTTACCCTCATTAAAAGAGTTTCTGGTATTCCCTCTTTCACAGGTTTGTGGTCTTCTGACATTTCAACTCCATTTCTTTGAATAGAAGCTCTAACAGTCAACGGTTGTTTTTCTTTAAGCACTGTTACAGAAACTCTGTATAATTGTCCTGGTCGTACCATTTTTGAGGCAACGGCAAAATATGTTCTGAAAGCAGTTATTTTTATTCAATATAAAATGATTTCCTTGCTACCACCTAGGTCCTAAATTATAAAGGCTCACGTTTTGCATGTGACGTCAGTAGTAACGGAAGTTATTGTGGAGAGTACTGAAATGCACTACACTATAAAATCCATTAACCTCAAATATATCAATATATTTTAAATTACCTCGAGTTATAGAATTATTTATGATAGTATTTTACAAGTAATGAATCATGCAAGGGTGTTCAAATTATTATATTAGGCATTGGTAGTCATTTACATTTAGACAGTCTTTAAACCACTGGTAGTGACGTCCCTAAGCAATGACGCGTCAGATGTGAGGCCTTGTATTATAGGTGTTAATGTTTACTCAAAGTTAATGTAAAATGAAATTAAAAAAAAATTGAAAATATATAGATTACTTACGCCTCTCTAATAATAGTTGAGTGGCTATTGAAGTGTGAACCCCCACCGCCTACATAAGAAGGATTCCTCCAAGACTCTCTGTCGCCCCCATAGAAATCCGTATCGTCGTATATGCCTCCCCTGTCCCTATTGTCATAGGCATCGTTGGGTCTGTTACCATAGGGATCATTGGGCCTATTTCCATATGGATCATTAGGTCGACTCCCATATGGATCATTGGGGCGATTTGGATCAATAGTTCCGTATGGGTTTTGTCCAGTCCGATTGAATTGCCCGTATGGCACATTTTGTGAATTGGGGTTGTTCTGACCATACTGTGGTTCTTGTGTTACTGGGTTATAAGGGTTGTAGTCACTATTCGGACCACCAGTGGAAGAGGGGTTGTTAAAATTGTACGAGTTATATTGGGAACCAGGAGTGTACTGAGGATTTGGGGTGTATTGGGAGTTGGTGTCTTGTGCGGTGACACAGTATAAGACGAGTAATGCGGGGACCCATGTCAGCTGCCTTGGCTTCATTCCAATAGGTGTCCTGTAAAAAAAATACCAAACATTAATTATTAATTAACTTATGTTCACTATTTAAAAAAAAAATAAGTTAACTTCTAAGTTATAAAAGAAGTTAAAACTTTTACGATAAATGCCATAATGTACTGTCCCGTTAACTATAAATATACATATAGGGATGCAGTTTACCAAAAATAATAAACCAAAAAACCAATTAGCTCCCCTTACTTTTTTCATTATTCTTCCACAGAGAACCTAATTTTTTTAATGGAACACCCTGTATATGTATATTATGATTTCTTATCTATCTATCTATAGCTATCTAGAATTACTTTTAATTAGCAATGAATTAATTCTTACACACTATTAGAGGACTATTAAAGGCGGAAACGGAAACGTACCATTTTATTAACTGTACCGACAAGATTCTTTTTTGTAGTTGTACACACAATAGTCTTCAACAAAATTGGAGAAAGTTTTTGTATTAACTGTACTAAATCCACAATCCAAAAGAAAAACAGAAGTATTAAATGATATTTATTTATATTTGTTGAATTTAAAGCAACATTCAATTTTAAATTTTTTATCATATGAGTATTTCAATTTCTCCCTAAAGATAACCAATTAAATAAAAGGCGGAATTACTGTTAAATTTTCCAAATTACATAAAGAGAATTGTATTGGTATTTCATCCATAGTAATATCACAGAATAAGAAAAATCAGTACGAAAGTACGGATATAGAACTATGGTTGCCGAGAACATTTTTTTGCACATGACCCCAATCTAAGGCAAGTTCGGTATTAACATCTAGATTCTAGATGCTTTGGATGTGTTTTGACTTTTTCTAATAGCAACTATTGGAACGACAAAAAGACTAGAGCATCTAGATGTTAATATTAACATCCAATTGAACATCAGTAAAGCGACTTGACAGTCTTGACACTCCATCATGGTCAAAACGTATTGGATGTTGATCGTCACGTGGTTACAACGGATCCGTGATCACGCATGCATGTGGATCCAGGCTTAGACTTGCTGAATTCTGTAGAGCCAATCAGAGATTAGAATTTTTAAACAGATCAATAACACATTGATCGAATCCATCGCATCAAAATGATTAAGAAAAAAACAACCAATGATAGTGTCAGGCTCAACAAAATTGAAAAATGAAAAACAAAAAAATGTGCAAGCTAATTTCTATTAATATAGGGCAAGACTGGAATTTGTATGAAAAGCGATTATTTTTTTACAGATCATTAGGTAAGTTATATAGAACTAAGCTAAATGTAACTGTTTATTGTTGATTAGCTGCAACTTAGATTTTTTTGCTTACTGGAATCAATTAAAAAAACAGTAAACATTGTAGGTATTAATTATTTACAGAAAGAATGATAATCTCAATACAAATTTGAATAGGTGCTGTATATATGATGTGTGTTTGTTTCGATAGTATTCAAAACAGAAGAGATAGGTACCGTTCGGTCACAGTAGGCCGCACACAAATTACTTGTCTCTGGCTTTGGCAGTATCCATCCATTCTTTGTAATGGAGGATAGAATGGATCCAATGAATCGGATGACTGATTATTTCATGAGAATCAGAGATTTTTCTGAACAGAAATAGGTAGATAGGTAGGTACAAAAACAAAAACAACAGACGAAAGATCTGTTTAATATTTATCTCTTCTAATTCGTATGTACATACAACTGACTTGCTTTAAATTGAAAAATCTTTACTTGAAACATTTAATGATGAATTCGTACTTCGTAGAGAGAAATAATGGTTTACTAGCATTTTTTTTGTTAAATTTTAATATATCCTACATGATAATATACTAAATAGATAATTCTACTTGGAATTTTCCGTTATTTTCAGAATTTTTAAATATGTATGTATAAGGTAAATAAAATATATACATTCTTCGAATGGGAATTAAAATCCTTTCTTTTATTTTTCACCTTTATTTTAATAAGAAATGACCCTGAGAATGCGCAAGACTTACGAAGAAACACGCCTTCGCAACTGCAAAATACAGTATGCACTGCAAGCTGCTACGGTGAACGCCACGCCGCCAATGTCCTCGGATGTCGAATGCGGTTAATTCCAAGAAAGTGACGCAGGGGTCTTCTTGGAATTCTATCTCAACAAATATCGTACTTACGGACTGTAACTATTTTTACTATTTTATAAAACTCGTGTGGCAAATGTAAACCAATCGTACTACCCAAATACGCCGATTAAACGAATTGGTGCCATTAATCAAATGAAATATGAATGAAGTCCTCCATTCCCTAACTCCTAATGGTATTTTGATGGGGGTGGACCGATTATCTGACAAAGTAAGTCAATACGTCGCAAAGTAGTAAAAAACACAAATAATGTAATATAAGCTTGTTTGTAAACTAAAATACATAAATCCTCAAAGGAAATTGGGTATTGGGCTAGGTCGTCGCAAATTGGGCTGGGGGAGGAGGCTTTGAGTTATTATCGACCAAACAATATGACACCATGATGGATGCTTATCACCTGTTTAATTGAACAGAAATAATTTCATGGTCTGCAAGTCTTGGTAGGTGATGTAGACAGTGACAGTAGGCAGTCGCGAAACGATTGAATGGACTTCGTCAGTCGTGCATGTCTGACAAAAAGAATGCCAGCAAATAAAGATATCGATTTAAAAAAAACTGTTTGAAAGGGAGACATCAACAGCACCCCTGATCTAACAAACTGCGGTCTCAGTTAATTTAATATTAGCATTAGCATAACATAACCCTATTGAAAAGAAAGGTTCTGTTGTGTAGTTCCAGTTTCTACTGAATTTTAAATGCATCTAATAGCTCGTTGTAATAGTTTCTGTTTCATGTTAAAGTAAAGGGAAGTAAACATGTCTGGTTGATTTATTTTCATGAATTTCTTTAAATAAAATTAATCATGTCCGAATACTGTTTAAAAATATTCTTTATTTTAACTTATTGTACTAGACTATTTTACTATTTCGGATTTGTACCTTTGAGTATCCGTTAAATCCAAGTAGGAGAAAATTTAAAATAAAAGAGTAGGTACATAATCTCATGGTATCCGTGAGTGAATCGTACTTGACGTAAAAACCAGGGCCGGATTCGAAACACGGCGCTGACATGACACGAACACAGAAATGATAGACGATATATATGGTAATTTTGTAACATAAAAATAAGAGGGGTAATAAATGTCTCCCTGGATAGTGGATATGCAATAGTGTCCACTTGTTACTGATAGAATAAAATAATGGTTACAGTCTTCATAGGTACCTAATGATATATTTAAAATATATGAAATAAAATAACTGACACATCTTTACAGTGTGGTAGGTACATAAAAGGAATTTACCCTACTTTTTTAATTCAAAATATATATTACGCCCTAGGGAACACTTTATGAACACGATACATTCCAGGAAATTAAGGGTAGATATACGCTGGAATAGAATTTCAAGATAAAATTCAGTTAAAATATACTGAGTTAACTTGAGATAATATGCCGGTAAATGCAAATACAATTTTGGTGTGCGGTAAAGTAACCCAAAAGCTACACACAAACGTCGTATTTGTTAAGATGTACAATTTTTTTATTAGTGTTTGAAACGAGTGTAATATGCTATAAAATCCAGATTCTTGAAATTTCAGAAGTACTTTAAGGTCAAATACACATTTGTCGATCCAAACATTTCATAATCCGTATTTCCGTACAGTGTCATACATACTCTCATCAGCGGCAATTAACCTTTGTTCTATCAGTTGCAGATGAGTCTCTAGTTCAACTGTTGCATTTTATTTTTTAATTATTGATAAAAATTGCTTGGTTTCTTTATTTGGGCCGTTGTATATAAAAATAACCTATCTACATAATCTAATTAACCTACAAATATGTCTACTTTTCATCGCGTCATATGAAAACGCCGTACGACTCTGGAATGTACGATTTACTTTCGGTCATTACAAAAAATATTAAACTACTGGAAAAAATTAACAGAACATTAACTTTTTCTAGTAAAAGGGTACTGTTTTCTTAAGATGGCACATTTTGAACTGGTCGAAATGATTCACACAAGTCGAAATACGCCATAGCGTCATGCGATAGCGATATGTCATGGCGTCGGTAAATTCCAACTTTGTAAATGTGCCGATCTATTTAATTTTAATCCAACTGTAACACGCTGATCAAAGAACGGATGTCAGTTTAACAACAAATCCCTTGTAAACGTTTCGTAGTTGTACTAATTTATACAAAATCTCTGAAAAAGCCGACACGTATTAAGCCGGGATTTATATATTTTAGTCCTAATCCGCCTCAAGTGTATGAATGTATAAAAAGGAAATTAAACCACCTCATATTTATTTACTGTGTTGCATGAAACAGCTGTTTGTTATATATTCCGATTTGTACCAGTTCGAGACTGCTCTTCTTAGACCGGTAAAATCTGGAAACATAGCAGGGTAAGTATATCAACTCCACTGATTCAAATTGTACCGTCATACGTCAGGTTCAAAATGTCCAGTCAAATTTAAAATAAGTAAAAATCTTGTTAAAATAGCGCATAAATACTGGATAGAAGAATTATCAGATTAGTCAAGAATATGGCCTACGTTTAAGCAGGAGATCATCATACCGCTAATGAGGGCGCTGGTTGCAAATTGTAAGTAATACAGTATGCGCTTTTATCTTCTGCTACCGTTGTATCAGTGGTCTGTGGTAGACCAAGTCAATGACGTCAATGTTCAATGGTCTCAGTGACATTTGCTGAGTAAGTCATTTGTAAACGCTAACGAACAGCCTACGGCTTAAAAAAATGTTTAATCGACGTATTCGTATGTTTTATTGAACGTATTTCGACTTATGGTCCAGTAGCGGGGAAAATGTAAAATAAAATTTTTTATATTAACTTAACTACTAAGAAATTTTCGAAAAAGATATTAGATGTTATTGCTTTTGATGTGTGGCTAAAATGTTGTCAATTATTTCTGATACACCCTGTATACTCGTA